AACAGATGTCACAGAAAGCTTCTCCTATACAGTAAAATATATACAACTATCCACAACTAAGAAGTATCCTGATAAGTAGCCCAGTGTGGGATGCAATTAGGGGGTGGTGTATTGGTGTAAAGAGACTTCCGTTTACAAAATACACTAGATTCTTCAGTTCTGGATTCCTATCAAGCAGCTACTTTGCACTGACCAACTGATGTCAGTCACAGATATGTGTAAGTCCGTCATAAGTCCGCCATAAGTATGCAAACATAAACTCATGCCAGCAATAGGTCTACTTAATCTGTAACATAACAAAGGCAAGTCCAACTCATGAAAATTCTGACTAATAATTATCTGATCATTATAAGTAGTGAATGAAAATAGTCAAAGCCAGGTATTAAAGCTCATTTTTTATTGACTGGATGTAAAGAAAATGAGTCTACTCATACCTCACCTCCATTCTTCTCCTCTGTGCTGCATCTAAGGTTAAGCTCAATAGACAGAGAGGGTTTAAAAAAGAAAGAAAGAAATCCACTATATAAGTTTCTTTTTAACAGCATTTAAAAATCCACCTTCTTGCTAATGTTTCATTCACCTGTCACTCTAAAAATAATTCACCATCTATTTTCAGGGTTTCTATGATCAACATCATGAAAAGCATTAATTTTAAAAGCATTTCAATGGCATTGACAAATGGTATCCAAATCAATCTACTACTGAAAGCAGTAATAAAGAACAGACCACAATACCGTTGTGAATAATTTTATTTTTATCAGCACATACAGCCTATTATTTTCTATACTGAATTTACATTGTTCCTCTATAACTGTAGGCCTAGTAAAGTGGTGCTATCAAATTCAGCATGTCTGGATGCAATCAAAAGAATCTGAAATGTCAGAACATTTTAAATTAGATTGAATTAACATCAATGTCTTCCTAAAGGTGCCTTATACTTCCCCCTTTAGGTAGTGTAATTTCAATCAGGCTGGCCTGAACTGCAGCATAGAAAAAGCAATAAAACTATTTAAAAGTTTCTTAACTCCTGGGGTCTGGGTTCTGTGACAGAAGAAATGTGGGCTATAAACAGAAGATTTTTTAATTATTATTATTTAAAATAATAATCGGAGCATAATTATTGCTTTGCCATGTGCTCAGGTTGTGTTTCATAATTTGGTTCCGGTGATCAAATTTTAGTAGGCCAAAATATAAACTAGCCTTGTGGGTGTCCATGCAGTCCCATTTCATACAACCCAAGAAATAATGGTTAATTGGTCAGGAAAAGCCAACTTCAAGGTAAGTCAACCGAATAAACCACCTTCAAACACACTTGGGTGTGTTCCAAAGCTGTTAAATCACAGTTTTATAATCTGGATAAAGAAGGAAACTATTGTTAATAGGAAACTTCCCTGTATGTTCACTTGCTTCTGTACACTAGGTTATGGAGAGCATTCTTAAAAATCACTTTCATTTGTAGGATGGAAGAGTGATAGAGGATTAGATAGAGAGACAGATAGACGATAGATGGAAGGGGGGTATTTTCTGGTAGTTTTACTACATGTAACGCAAATCTCATGTATACCCCTGGGAGAGAGATGCAGAATGGGTGCAGCTGTTAGGGCAAAACAGTGTAAAGTTACACTGAATGGGACAGAGGTATACCAGTCTGATAAGCAGCAATCGTGTCTTGAGCTACTATCTGAAAACAGCATGGGAGACAACACCCTTCCTAGTAGAACATACATCCCAGTTATTTTTCAGTTTAATCTGTTTCCATCCTGCCTTTTTTTTTCTTGCACGTTTCTTTTATACTCAGAGGTTGGTGTATCTTGCCATATACACTGAATGTGAAAACCCTATATAAAGAACCCAATAAGTCAGGCATTCAACACAAAGAAATGTGATCAGTTTGTAGAAGTGGATAACTTGGATATCTAACATTCACAACCCACTAACTTAAAGGCTGGAATAAGTCGATCAAAAAAGACAGGAAAACAGAAAAAAGGCACATTTTCTCAAAGAATCACAAATGCCAGCGGGGTGGAGGAAAGGGAAAACTACAGTGGCAGCAAGGAAAGGATATGTTTACATGTTTTTGGATGCTCTTAATATTTGTGATAAGTTTTATTTTATTCTCAAATGTATTTTGCTACCATTTTGGTGTTTTTGTCTCTGGGTTCCGTTGGGAGGTAGAAATTTTGAACAATGATAGCATGGTAGAAATAGCAACAGGCACAAGCCTATACCAGGGAGTTTAAGACAGTAGGTACAGATCTGAAACAGTAAACTCTTACCCCCAAAGGAGCCACATCTAAATGAAAACCTTTCCTACACCGTTCAAGTTTATAAGTGCTCATCTCATGACAAAGCTCCAGTCTATTCCCTTTCACTATTCTAAGGGAGAGGGCATGAGAGAGAGAGAGAGAGAGAGAGAGAGAGAGAGAGATATTACTCCTACGTACTGTATATCCTTTAAATAGCAGTTACACCTGCCTCCGAATGCCAGTTATTGAGGAACATGAGCAGAAGAGGGCTGCTGTGATAATGTCTTGCCTGTTGGAATTCCATGGGCATATGGAGACTCCAATACTTTGGCCACCTCATGAGAAAAGAAGACTCCCTGGAAAAGACCCTGATGTTGGGAAAGATAAAGGGCACAAGGAGACGGGGACGACAGAGGATGAGATGGTTGGATAGTATTCTTGAAGCTTCCAGCATGAGTTTGACCAAACTGCAGGAGGCAGTGGAAGACAGGAGTGCCTGGCATGCTCTGGTCCATGGGGTCACAAAGAGTCGGACACGACTAAACAACAACAATGGTTGGTGGGAACAGAATGCAGACAGTAGGCCTTTGGCCTGATCCAGCAAGACTCAACTCATGTTCTTAAAATGCACTATCATCTCTTAACGGCATTCTGTTACTCCTTCAAACAATTTTCTCATGCTCATTCAGAAAAGAGAACTATTCTTATAACCTTTGCTTCCAAAGAGTTAAGCAGAATAATTAAAATAATTATATCGTAATTGAAACCTGCAGTGTGGTTATTGGCAGCTCAGCACCAGAGATTTTTCTTTTAATCTACACCTCACATCTCTCAGTAATGAATAGTAGCATAATTAAATACTTCAGCAATGATAATAAGAAGGGACTGCTGAAGTCCAGTAATGTTATGCATTGTTGACACTGTATCATAAACAGGAGGAAAAAGAGAATAATTTGATTACAGTGCATTCATGACTAGAATTCTGCAGTCCAGTAATGTTATGCATTGTTGACACTGTATCATAAACAGGAGGAAAAAGAGAATAATTTGATTACAGTGCATTCATGACTAGAATTCATGTTCTTGAACTTACCTCCAATTAACTTTTGCATGAAAAACTGACTGGGTTGCCAATGTTTTGTTTCAACATCAGTGGAGCGGGGGAGGGGGAGGGAAACATGGCACAAATGCGATGTGATTGAAACTACTATAATAGGAGTTAATCAAAAGCATCCAGAGACAGAAGATAATGTGTGTGTACATCTCAGTCCCTTCTCAGATTTGATGAGCAGGAGAAATTGACTAAAGTTACTCAAGTTATGGTTCCTTCTCTTTTACTGATGAATTCTGCCCACTGTTCAATATTATTATCATTAACAAATGATATGCTATTTAGTATCTGCATCTATATCAACCATGTCCAAATATAAGATCATTATTTCCTGCTACATTTGTGTGTGTTTTTAACCAGGGGCTGATGCCCTTGCTTGCTCCATTCACCAACCCTCTTCTTTTACATCTGAGCAACTCCTCCTCACTTTACACCTTGATGTCCCTGTGCCTATTCCTTCACCTCCCCCCCCTCTTCTCACTACTTGCCCCAAGCCCTTTACCTTCTCCTCACAGCCCACCCTTTTAAAGGAGAGTGGGAGGCGCGTCAGCCAAATTGCTTTCTGAAGCATCTCCCCTCTGCTTTAAACACCTTCCCCTGATAAGGACCCATGGGGCAACAGGACGCTTGCTGGAGTAATGGGCTGCACCAGAAGAGATTCGGAGAAGAGGAGCTCATTAGTTCAAGGCTCAGTCATGATAGCTCTGGGTAATATGTAGAGTATGCATTATGGAACTACTACTGGTTTGTGTTTTCTGTAGGTCTACTTTAAATTTCATCCTAATTTCTCCTTTTTCTTCTTGTTACCTAAAACTAGTGTGTGTGTGTGTGTGTGTGTGTGTGTGTGTGTGTGTGTGTATGCCCTTCACTAGTCTTATGTAATGTAGACTAGTGCCTATGAAAATTCATGCCACAAAAAAACCCCAGTTAACTCTTTAAGGTAATACAGTATAGGGTTCCTGTTACCCACTGAGTCAGATCTCCCACTAGGCAGAGTGAGGTGGCTGCCTGAGGCATCTAATTTTGAGTTTAATGAAAGTCAAGCAGTGAGTGTATAATTTTATTTATTATTCTTGTAGGGAGAGAAGGGGGGGTATCAGGGGAGGGTTAGTACCTCTGGTTGGAGACACGTCATGCTCCTTCTGGGGTAATTTGTCCACCTTTGGTTCCCACCCTGCACTCAGCTCTCACCTGTAGCTTTTAGAAGCTGTCAGCATGTGACAGCAGCCACACCCTGGGAGCCAGCTTTGATTGGTCAGTTAAACTATGGGTCTCCAACTATGGGTAGCCAATGGGTCTCAAACCCTCGGTGAATTAGGGACTTCCCCTGCATGTGAAAACAGGCTCTGGCAGATTGATCAGAGACCAATAGTGGGTCCAGCCACTGCTATTTTTCTAGAAAAGGAAGTGTCGGAACTCACCCTTGTCCTCTTATAATGTCAACAGCACCCACTTGAGAAAGGCCAGAACTGAGTTCCAGCTGAAAAAAGCCCTGGGTCCAGTGGTCATGAAGATAGTTACTACATGTGCGGGGCAGGGAAGTGAGGGGCAGATTGGGCGTGTTAACCTAAGACGGTAGCCAGTCTAGGAGAAGGAAAACTCTGATCCTAAACTTCTGCTTCCTTGCAGCTATACTCATTCATGAGAAAGGCTTCAAGAGTAAACCCTGAGGAAAAGTACGTATCTGTTGCCTTTGGGAGAAGAAAAGGCTGAGGAGTAAACCCTACACTAAGACGTTTGGATGGCGTCTTGAACACCTCTTTCCATCAACTCTTGCAGTCAAGCTGGTGCCAGATGTATTGCTTTCCTTTCCTTTGGTCCATATCTGTGAGGCCAAGAGACAGGGTCTTGTCTGGGCAGCCCAGGAGCTCCACACACACTGCCCGGGTTTGCAACCCAATGAGGTAACTTTGGTGATGCTAACACAGCAAAAACAATGTGGGGCGCAGCAATTACAAGTTACATGTCTCTGCAGCTATAGCAGGCACTGTGATTCTACAACGGTTTGAATTCACCCCTGGAGGCACACTCCACTGTCTCTCAAAACAGACAGATGCCAAAAAGGGAGAGATGCTTGTGGGATATTTTGCCTCAGGTGCCAAAGTAACTCTACCAGCAGGGGGCAGGGGGCTGTTCCATCTCAGGCAGAACTATTTGCATCTCAGGCAGCTAAAGGCCCACCTTTGTTCCAGGTTATTTTAAACACACACACACAGAGAGAAATTAATATCTGCATTCCCATCTAGTCTTCAATCATACCTTCTCCAGGATTTCATTTTTATAAAAACTTACAGAACAAAAGGGAATAGTGTGAGCTTACAAAACTGTTTACAAAATTAATTTTTTTAATCACATAACAAGGCAAAGCAAAGGAAGTCAAGGCACAAATTAGATTTTCAATGCATAAAGCTATGTAGAAAAGATATTTGATGAACAGGTGACAGGGGAAAGCGATCATCTTACTGGAGGTGCCATTCAAGCACAGATTTTAGATCGTCACTCCCCCCCCCCGGTTTTTATGTCTAGCCTATTTACAAGTTGAAAATCCATTAAATATATTAGGCATGTTGCGTGAGCTGCACTTTAATTTTTGACATCTATGTATTATTAATGTAATCATCTGAACTATGCACATTCAGAGGACATGGAAAATTAAGAAAGATACAGCAATCAGAAATTAAATAAGGAGAGCACGTATTAAAGAGAATAATAAGTTAATTTTATTAATAAATGAGGTGAATATAACTTCTGAACTAAATGATAATAATTTCATTCAGAAAGAAGATCCTTTAGAAATAATATTTCTCTAAAAGCCATTGAAGCATAGGCTGAGTACATAACCCTAATTACAGCCCATTCTTTCCAGAAATTTTTATGGCTTGTCCTTCTTTTTGTTGGATTTTCATTATAAAAAGAAGAAAATGTGCATCTCCCTCACCCGTCCCCCATCTTGTCCCCAGTCCTCTCCTTCATCACTCTTTTTTTTTTTTACTTAGCCCTGTAATAAAGCTTTCTTCATGATTTGTGTTCATTAGAAAGGTAATTATATTTTCAGAAGCCAAGGTGCCAATAAGATAACCTTAACATGTTTATTACAAAAGCAAGAGTACAGACGTGATTTTTTTAAAAGTAGAAAATGGGGTAAAATACACTGCCACTAAGCCAGCCTTGCACTGGGTACAACAAAGGGCCTACTTTCGGTGGCACAAGTTGAGGGTGGAAAAATGACAGTAGCTGCCTGGCCACTTCCACTGAGAACCCACCCTAGTCAATCTCTCTGAACACATTGCTGCTGTCACCAATGACCCATCTTGAGATACGTCCCAAGCCATTACTGTGGCAAGATGTCTTCTGGCTCACAGTTGCTTGGAGTGGTATATGTGGACCCCCGCTCTTATAGAGCTTCTCCCCCCCTTTCTGTTAATTCCAATGGGAAGCATAGTTCATTGTCTGCTCCAGAGCTGGCAAGGTGTATGGCCATTTGGGGAAATGACCACGGACCAAAGGGGTTTAGGGTGCATCATTTCTGAACCCACCACTGGGCAGCGTACCCATGACAGTGGTGGCATTTGCCACCGCCATGGTGAGATCACTAATGGCAAACCTCTTCTCTGCCATGGGAAAAGATGTCATCGGCATCTAACAGCAGCACTCCCTGGGAACTTACAACTTCCCGCTGTGTGCTTGTGTGCATTTTCTATTACTATTTAGTCCCTTAATGGGAGTTGCAATCCTTATGTGGACCGACTCTTCTCCCAGTAGTATCTGTTTAATGCGTGCAACAATCCCATCATATGTCTTGTGTCTAATTATCTTGTTTAAAATCCCCATAGTCTCATATTATAATTGTGTTACACTGATGTTTTTTCTTTTTATTCATTTTTCATCATTTGGATTCCATAATCAGAATACTACCAGTTCCGCTTTCTGTTAATTCACTTCAATCCAATATGCCAGGACTCTGCCATTATATAAAGTTGTTATTGCATTATTGAAAGAGATGATAGGAAAGCAACTCCTATCCCCACTACACCCCTGCCGGCACACTCTAAGTGGCATCAGCAAGTATGTGTTGGGTTTATAACCCAGTCCTGCTATCACGAGCTCTGGGTGTTACTCCAGTCAGTTTTTTCATCAGGAGGGAGAAACTGGCCATATGTCTTTTGGAGAGCCAAGGCCACTGCAAGCTTAACTACATTCTTGCCAATGTTGTGGCTGCTTTGAAAGAAGACTGGTTACAGGAAGCAGCCAAGTCTAAAACCACTTTGAGGGGTTCTCCCCCCCCCAATCAAGTGTTGTATAAATCTTATAAAACAAAACAAAACAAGAGCAAGGATGAGCGGAGGTTGAAAGACAGGTACCAGTGGCAGTTTTGTGGATGAAAAGAGAATATTGGGGGGGCAGGCTATAAAGAAAGGAACAAGAAAGATCAAACCTTTCTCCACCTCAGCCGTTTTCCCTCAAACCCTACATCTAGGTGCTTCTCTCCCAGGAGAGAAGTTTAGTCTGGATACCTAACCAGTTAAATATGGCTAGCACAGCCTTCCCCCAACCAGGTCCCTTCACATCAGGTCTAACACATCTAGAGGACACCTGGCTGGGAAAGGCTGGGATCAAGGAAGGTAGGTGGTTGGAGGAAGACCAGCAGGACAGGGGAAATATTCAGCATTCCCACATACATGTCCCTGCTGCAAAGCATCTGTATAGGAATTTCCCCCAAGCATTCATTCTGTACAGGAATATGGTACAATTAACTTTCTAGAATACAAGCCATTCTGGAATACAAGCCTTAGAGTTGTCATGCTTAGTTTTGCTGCCCAGTACATATTATTCTCTGTGCCATTTCACCAGTTCCTCAAAATGCGTTACTCAGTTTGCCAGAATGGTTCATGCTTTCATTAGTTTAGCCCCCAGTAAATAAACAAAGCTACTACTTCATTACAGCACTGGCTTTTATCTCACAATTGTTTTGGATCCCTGAGTATTTTAAGCTTCTCCTCAGCATTTGACATTTAAGGTCCTATCAAATTAATGCTTTCAGCTATCTATATTCACTCATTATTTCAGTCATGCACATTGGCCAGGGGCTTGTCCCATTTAAATCTCTTTCACATTTGCTTACACAAGCTTTTTTATTATTCAGACATTTGGTCCTTTTTATGTTTTCTCTCATTAACACGGAATTTCACAAGTCCTTGGTGAATAATTAGCTGTAGTAGGATCCTTAACTCTCACATATACATTTTTAATTTATTAAGATGATCACCAAATTACTTCTGTACCATGAAGAATGGCATACAACTTCTGTGCAAAACTACCAAATTAAAATAGAAAACATCACATTTTTTAGGTTAATCACACAAATCCAGATAAGGGAATTTGCACTGGATCAAGGGATAAAACCAAGGAATAAAGGCCATTAGACTTGAGGTAGACATAAACTGTTTTACAGTACTACTCAAGTATTGGTGTGTTTCAATAATATACATGTATGCGTTTGTTTAAAAGATAGCTTATAATATATATATATATATTAAGGATTTATTTACTAGTTTCCTGTTGGTTTCTGCTACGAATTCTGATCAACTCCACACCTGCTAAGGTTTAGTAAAACTGCAACATGTGGTGTTCTCACCCTGTTCACTAAGGCTGCATAAAAACCATAACATGACTTACCCCAAAGAATCCTTGGAACTGTAGATTTACCCATCACAGCTACAATGTCCAGCACCCAAAACAAACTACAGTCCCCAAGATTCTTTAGGGGGGAGACGTGTACTTTAAACATGTGGTTTGCACGCAGCCCAAAAGCCCCATCTTTTAAATCTTATGCCATTCTTGTCCCCAAGTATAAAACACCTGATGAAACACAATTCTTAAGACTTTTTCTCAAGAACTAATTTATTGCCATGAGTTTGGTGATGGGGAGCAAGTAGACTGTATGTGAGACCCTTCTAACTTCTGGATCCAGCAAGTGTTAAAATATAACCCAGGCTAGCTTCCTGTGTTTAGGTAATAGCCTGAGTGATAGACCATTAAGGGAAACAAAGGGAAGAGTAGGGCACCTACAGGTGTGTGATGGCATCTGTGCAGATTTGGTCTTGCACATCTGTAGAAAATTCATTCATCTGGTTGTTGAATTCTTTTCAGTATTCTTCAGGCTAGTCTGAAGTAGGGGCTTGCCAAATGCAACCAGAGAGTCACATCTCTCTCTTTCATAAGTAATTCTTATGAAAAAGCTGAACTATAGACCCCTCTTATGTCATCAGAGGCTGTGGGTGGTGATTCATAGCTGAGTCTATGCAAGAAACAATATTGATACTCTCAGCTTGAGACATACGGTAACACTATAGGTAAAAATTTAGTTTGGTATTGTGACATGAGATGTGTGACTACATTAAGGAAAAAGAAAAATTGCATGGAGAAGATCAAGTCTATAGGGAGATCATGTCAGAGAAAGGTAATAATGTTACCAATAAAAACCACGAAAACTTTGCAACACAATAGTCACACTGACTATGATATATAGGGTGGAAAGTAGTTTGACAAAGATTTGCTGCCAAAGAAAATACAGCCAATACTCAAAATTCTGTTGAACAATGGGTGTGTAAAATCTCTCTTACACCCATATACCAAATGAATATGACAGCACAGAAATGTTATGGATGTGATACAAGTCATCTATAATGCCAAGCACAGATGGACCATCAACATGGCCAACCATCAAGAAACCAGATGGACTTCTCATTGTACAGACTGAGATCAAAGACCAAAACAACTTTTGTGGCAGATCTGATTTCTGGACCAATGCAATGATGAAACACATCGATCAGTGTTAGAACAATAGACTTGTGATGGAATGGGAAAGTGTGCCATCAACTCTGAACTCATGGAAGAACAGAAACTGGTTGTGGGCGATGTGGTACAATCAGCAGGAGTCTATAAATAATTATTCTCTCTGCAGGACTGAAAGGATGCTGGTTGTTCGTTAATGAACTTCTTCAATTGTACATCTAAAGATTTACACAAAATATTCCAGAACTCACAAAGGGAGGAGGATATTCAGAAACACAACATAACAGACATGATACAAGCAGTGGTTTGGCAGCATCAAAACAACATGGTGAGTTCTTTCCACACAAACCAAATAATAGGGGAATAGGACAGAAGTACAGCTCTTTACAGGTTCTGCACCCTGCCCATTTTTCTCACTTTTACCAGCACAGCTTTTTGTAAAGAGCAAGGGGGGGTACCCAGTCCTAGAAACCACATTGTTGTATCCATCCCTGTCATCTATGAGTTTTTATTGCACTTCTGGAAGAGAAAAATATAACAATTCCCCTTTAACAAAGCATCTCTTTTCTTGCGCAAGTGCTATGTAATCTTGTCCTTTTTTGCTATAGAGTATAAAAGAGCTTCACCCTTGTTCCTTTCATGAAGAGGAACCATTGTCTATGATACATACACATGAGAGATAATGGACAATTTCATCGAGGCTATGCTGTGAATGGGGAACAGATACTGAGAAACAACTATCTCCAACAGCAACATTCTGCCCTGTTACATCAGAGATACCCTAAGAAAGCCAGCCCTCCATTTGCCAATGCTACTATCATTGCAACAAAGGAAATGTCACCAAAAGGCAACAGGGCCAAAATCAGCTATCAGTTTGTACATCAGATTATTGTGAACTGTCACTACAGAACTATTATTAAAAGACAGAATTATATCTCTTTTGTGGCACTTGTGCAGTTTTGATTCTCCTTCTGCTGCCATGCTCAAGGGGGCAAAGTTGGGATAGAAATCAAACGGCCAGCCGTCTTATAATATAAGCTGCAAATGATCCCCATAGACTGTTAGATACAAGTAGTTCCCATTCTAATTCCATCAATATATACAATATTCTATCACTTGTAATTTGGAAGATACCTCTGGAATTCAAAGGCTAGAACTAGTAAGGTAAGTACAACAGATGCCAGGCTTCTAAAAATATGCACCATATATTAATTAATAAACCATCAAATGGAAAAAGTTCTTTGTAATATTTGAGCACAACATGGTGTACTTGTACACTGTAAACTGGAAAACACTTCAGCCCAATTCAGTTGTTTCCCCCTCAAGTAATTGTCCCCATGTGAGGAAAGAGAATGGGAGCATCTTCAGTGAAACTCCTTCCAGGGAGTCTTCTCTACTGATGTATTCTCTCTGCAAAATTGAAAGCCCTGATAGTTCAGATTCTAGATTGCATGGGAAGCCAACATAAGTATCATGAACTTGTTGCATGGGATGCTACAGGGATGGGCTATCAGGAAAGCAACAAAAGAGGTGGAGGTAGCAATTGCCCCTCCTGCTCTGCTGTGCATGTAATTGAGAACATGACTTAATATGGCTTAACAGGAATCACAGAATAAGCTTTTTTATTGTTTTCATTCCTAGTTAAGTACAGATGGATCAGTTTAAACAGCTGGACTAACCAATCAGCAAGCTAAGCATATGCTTAGGGCACCAGCAAACACATAGAAAGATGTTTATGGGGGGGCACAGATTAGGAAAAGCATCATGGGGGAAATCAGGATTTTTGTTAGACTTTCTTCACTATACACGCTTCCTTGATTTCTCTGTTCTCTTTTTATTGCAAGCAACTCCCCACTTGTGTGGGGATTCTGTTCCTGGTGGCCACCCACATCAGCTGGACACACGTAAGTCTGGCCCCCTTGTGGTGTCAAAAATGTGTGTGGGTGTGCATGGACATGCACGTTTGATTTGCCTGTACTTACCCCCACCTAAGCCAGGGGGTGTCTTGCTAATATAGCATCTGTTTTCCTTGCATGATTTTGATCTATCATGTATTGCACACAACACACATGTATGTACATTTCAGCATACATGTAAATTTTGTGTCATTTCGGGGGGGGGGATATTTTAAGGTTTAGTACTGTTTTTATTCTGAATTATATATACAGGACACCATAATATTTTAAGGGCCCGTAAAGGTCTTAATCTGGTTCTGAATGTAAATTTCAAAAAATAATAAATAATAATAATAAATTTTATTTATATCCCGCCCTCCCCAGCCGAAGCCGGGCTCAGGGCGGCTAACAACACTAAAAAAGAAATAGTCATTGGATTTTATTTTTTTAAAAGGCATAATTTACAGTCCCAAGGAAACAAGGACATGCAGACCCCATTAAAATATTAAAACTTAATAGCATGGATATTTAACACAAAACATCACACAAAGAACAAGGAAGGTAGATCTTATGCTATTTAGAGAAGTACTTTTGAGCATCTTGGGCTTTTGTTACTGCAATTCCAATGCACACGTTTACTTCACTTCATCATTCTATGCTAATTCTATACAGGATTTAAATAAGATATCATTCCTAAGCTATTATGCTCTGACATTGAGAATGTTCTCATTTTAGACATATTCAAGCATACCCCAAAAATTCAAGCAATTTTTCTTGAACTAGCACCAGGCTGTAGCTGAACAGAATGCAAAGATGAATGCTAAGCTTGTGATCAGACCAATCAGATGAAACCATAAATAAAGAACAGCAATAATTTTAGTACTGCTTTAACATCCTCTTAGTATGAGCTACATATATCAAAGTCAAGCAGTATGCTGTGACAATGCTCAAGATGTTGGATTCCGATAACCTCTAAAGTCAATCTGAATGCCAGTGTTTACTGTCACTGCAGTTAACTTTACAGCCAGGCATACCAATCATTATATTTATATGCACATGTGCGCACACACACATACACACAAAGAGAGATAGAGAGAGTCAGTTAATGAAGACAAGCTCCAACATCCATAATGAGACCAGACTTGTCTGTTCCATATGCAATTTATACGTTTTGCGCTATCTCAACAAGGCTGATGGCAATCTATATGAATGTAATAAATTGCCTTTTCGGGGGACAACCCTAATATTAAAGTAAACAATTAATTGTTTAACCAGTTTTGTTTTAATTTGAAAATCCTCAGCATCAGTGATGATGTACAAATTAAATAATGGTTCCAAGAATGAAAAAAAGCTATGAAAAAAAGAATTAAAATATCCAGACGAAACCTCATGGCTTACATACATCATTGTAAATGGTTTTTACAAAGCAGAAAGCAGCAGCAACAACAAAAATAGCAATCATTCTGTGCTTAATATGTCTTCTGGCGTAAAGGTGTGAGTGCATTTCTGAATACCATAAAATATGTGAATGTAACATTATTATAAAACAGGTGAAAGACCATCTTGATAGAATGACTAGTGGCTGGGCTGAAAATGCCCCCCAGCATCTTCCCTAGACCTATCAGTTTCTCATGAAAGAGCGGGGATACTCTTCCAGGAGAAGACACTAAATTCTAGTAATTTGGTGGGTGCTGATGGCTTATCATTAAAGAACGGTGTAGATGGTTTTAAGTTATTGCCCTCTTCTAAACTCATAGGTATCTTACCTTCTCAATTTATTTCTAGCTTCCATTTTACTGGTAAGTAAATCTTGTTGCCTAGTCTCTACTCAGTGTCTATATTCTCTACTCCCTTTCCTGTACACATCTCCCAGATTTACGGTAATCCTTGCCTAGTTCCCTTCCCATGAATCCTATATATCCCCTGTTTGGGCTTTTAAATTGGGCAACTTTGAGTCAATTCAGGTTTAAGAAAATGGGTGATAAAAGTACATGATAAAGTACAAAGGTTAGTCTGTGGGTGTTTTACCATTCTCTAAATGTTATAACCCTTTGATAATATATTCACCACCTGAGAAAAATGCCCGTGGTACTGACTTTCTGCAAGACAGAAGGGGTTCTCAGGTAAACACTGAAGTGATAACTGGGTTGGGCACCTGGATATGAACTGTACAGCCTCTCCCAACTTCAAGTGAAAGAACCTATTAGGCACAAGAGAAGCAAGCTTAATTCTTCTTCTACTCATTCTAAAGGTTACATTAACCTTTTTTTAAAAAAAAACCCAAGGTAACAGACATTTGGGTGTAAAGGGGGAAAGAAAAATCTAGTTCGGAGAAACAGTGTATTTCGTGATCCCTTTAAAAAAAATTTAATGTTTTTTTTTTCTTGAAGCAGGCAGGTTTGCTACCTAGATTAAATGTCATTTAAAGTTCATTTGTGAATAAGAATTCCATCTCTCATTTCTAGTTTACCACATGGAGGTGGCAGTCAAATTCTATCAGCTTACAAAGTCGAAGCTTGCAATCTTATACACACACTTACCAAGAAATAAGTCTATTTAAATTCAAATGGGGTTTACTTAGGTGTAGAGGGTTGCACTATTAAGGCTGCAATACTGTGCAAGCAAAGTACAATACAGTGGTGCCCCGCAAGACGAATGCCTCGCAAGACGGAAAACCCGCTAGACGAAAGGGTTTTCCATTTTTGAGTTGCTTCGCAAGACGAATTTCCCTATGGGCTTGCTTTGCAAGACGAAACGTCTTGCTAGTCTTGCGATTTTTTTTCACTTTCCCCCCCTTTTTCTAAGCCGCTAAGCCGCTAATAGCCTTTTAGCAGCTAAGCCGCTAAGCCGCTAAACCGCTAATAGCGCTAAGCCGCTAATAGGGTTGCTTCACAAGACGAAAAAACCGCTAGACGAAGAGAATCGCGGAACGGATTCTTTTCGTCTTGCGAGGCACCACTGTACTGAAGCCTGAAAGTATGCTTCCATGAAAGCAAGACGTTCCCCCAGAAATCCTTGGAACTGTAGATTTACCCATCACAGCTAACATGTCACACACGCAAAACAAACTACAGTCCCCAAGATTCTTTAGGGGGGAGACGTGTATTTAATCATGTGGTTTGCACGCAGCCCAAAAGCCCCATCTTTAAATCTTGATGCCATTCTTGTCCCCAGTATAAAACACCTGATGAAACACAATTCTTAAGACTTTTTCTCAAGAACTTAATTTATTGCCATTGAGTTTTGGTATGGGAGCAAGTAGACTGTATGTGACCCTTCTAACTTCTGGATCCGCAAGTGTTAAAATATAACCCAGGCTAGCTTCCTGTGTTTAGTAATAGCCTGAGTGAATAGACCATTAAGGGAAACAAAGGGAAGAGTAGGGCACCTACAGGTGTGTGATGGCATCTGTGCAGATTTGTCTTGCACATCTGTAGAAAATTCATTCATTCTGGTTGTTGAATTCTTTTCAGTATTTCTTCAGGCTAGTCTGAAGTAGGGCTTGCCAAAATGCAACCAGAGAGTCACATCTCCTCTTTCATAAGTAATTCTTATGAAAAAGCTGAACTATAGACCCCTCTTATGTCATCAGAGGTGGGTGGTGATTCATAGCTGATCTCTATGCAAGAAAAATATTGATACTCTAGCTTGAGACATACGGTAACACTATAGGAAAAATTTAGTTTTGGTATTGTTGACATGAGATGTGTGACTACATTAAGGAAAAAAGAAAAATTGCATGAGAAGATCAAGTCTATAGGGAGATCATGTCAGAGAAAGGTAATAATGTTAATCAATAAACCACGAAACTTTGCAACACAATAGTCACACTGACTATGATATATAGGGTGGAAAGTAGTTTGACAAAGATTTGCTGCCAAAGAAATACAGCCAATACTCAAAATTCTGTTGAACAATGGGTGTGTAAAATCTCTCTTACACCCATATACAAATGAATATGACAGCACAGAAATTTATGGATGTGATACAAGTCATCTATAATGCCAAGCACAGATGACCACACAACATGGCCAACCATCAAGATAACCAGATGACTTTCTCATTGTACAACTGAGATCAAAGACCAAAACAACTTTGTGGCAATCTTGATTTCTGGACCAATGCAATGATGAAACATCGATCAGTGTTAGAACAATAGACTTTGTGATGGAATGGAAGTGTGCCATCCAACTCTCGAACTATGGAAGAACAGAAACTGGTTGTGGGCGATGTGGTACAATCAGCCAGGAGTCTATAAATAATTATTTCTCCTCTGCAGGACTGAAAGGTGCTGGTTGTTCGTTAATGAACTTCTTCAATTGTACATCTAAAGATTTACACAAAATATTCCAGAACTCACAAAGGGAGGAGGATATTCAGAAACTACAACATAACAGACATGATACAACAGTGGTTTTGGCCAGCACAAAACAACATGGTGAGTTCTTTCCAACACAAACCAAATAATAGGGAATAGGACAGAAGTACAGCTCTTTACCAGGTTCTGCACCCTGCCCATTTTTCTCACTTTTACCAGCACAGCTTTTTTGTAAAGAGCAAGGGGGGTACCCAGTCCTAGAAACCACATTGTTGTATCCACTTCCTGTCATCTATGATTTTTTATTGCATTCTGGAAGAGAAATATAACAATTTCCCCTTAACCAAAGCATCTCTTTTCTTGCGCAAGTGCTATGTAATCTTGTCCTTTTTGCTATAGAGTATTAAAAGAGTTCACCCTTGTTCCTTTCATGAAGAGGAACCATTGTCTATGATACATACACATGAGAGATAATGACAATTTCATCGAGGCTATGCTGTGAATGGGAACACGATACTGAGAAAACAACTATCTTCCAACAGCAACATTCTGCCCTGTTACACTCAGAGATACCTAAGAAAGCGCCTAGCCATTTGCCAATGCTACTCATTGCAACAAAGGAATCGTCTCACACATTCCACATACACTTCATTCCCAACTCCAGGCCCCAAATCAGCTATCAGTTTGTACATCAGAT